GTGCCGAAATGGGATATGAAAATGGATGGCCTGTTGCAACTGTGTGCTTATTTGCGTTATTTTTATTCCAAGTACGTGCTTGATGCGCCGATTTGGAAGTCGCCCAAGAGACCGTGTGACTCCTAAGATACAGGATTTAAAATGGTTAAATATGCAAGATAGATTAATACTAATATACCAAGTAACTACAGAACTGAAGAATAGGGTGTTTTTTTTCGATGTATAGAACTTTAAGTTGGCATTACTGTTCAAGATGGTGCCCGATTTAACAGCTGTCAAGTGATTTATTCTCAGTTTGATTTGGCAATTCATCACGAATAGACTCACTCCTGAACAACGCTTGCAAATAGTGCAATTTTATTTCGAAAATAATGGTTCTGTGCAGAATACGTATCGCGCACTACGTCCATTTTATCGTCGACAAAATCGTCCATCAGAGCAGTTAATTCGATTAACCATGGAACGTTTTCGCACCACGTTTACTCTTATTGATAACTCGCATCCCCAGAGACGCCGTACGGTGCGTACAGAAGAAGCTATTGCTGCTGTAAGAGCGTAGCATTGAGGAAGACCCGAGTGAATCCATCCGCCATCGAGCACAGGAATTGGATCTGTGTCCATCCACTTTATGGAAGATTTTGCGGAAGGATCTTGGTTTACGTGCTTACAAAATCCAACTCGTGCAAGAATTGAAGCCAAACGATCATCAAGTAAGGCGTAGATTCGTCGAATGGACCCAAAACGAGATTGCCGTTGTTCCCGATTTTCGTAAGCAAATTTTGTTTAGCGATGAAGCACACTTCTTGTTGAATGGCTACGGCAACAAACAAAACTGCCGCATTTGGAGCGAAGCTAATCCCCAAGTGTATGTCGAAACAATGTTACATCCAGAAAAGCTGACTGTTTGGTGCGCTTTATGGGCTGGTGGAATCATTGGTCCGTACTTCTTTAAAAACGATGATGGCCAGAACGTTACAATCAATGATGATCGGTATAGAGCTATGATTACTAACTCTTTCATTCCTGAATTGAATAACCATGAGGAGATGTGGTTTCAACAAGACGGCGCAACATGTCACACAGCTCGTGCCACAATCGATTTATTGAAAGACACGTTTGGCGACCGCCTAATTTCACGTTTTGGACCTGTAAATTGGCCTAACATCGCTAGACTACTTTCTGTGGGGCTATGTAAAGTCATTGGTCTATGCGGATAAGCCACAAACGCTTGACCATTTGGAAGACAACATTCACCGTGTTATTGCCGATATACGGCCACAAATGTTGGAAAAAGTCATCGAAAATTGGACGTCCAGATTGGATTACATCCGCCCCAGCCGTGGCGGTCATATGCCAGAAATCATATTTAAAATGGAATGCCACAAGATTACCTTTCGGACAAATAAAATTCATGTCAATCGAATAATCCATTGTTCTTTTATTGCAACTTAAAGTTCTATACATCGAAAAAAAAACACCCCTTACATATGGTTTAAAATGGGCGTAGAAAGCAGCTGAGGAAGCCCTAATTTGAAACCAAGAAAATTAACATAAATCCCAGTCATATTAAAAATTAAAAATTTAAATTATATGAAAAAAAAGAAGAAAAGAAGAAAAAATGTATTTCCCTCTTAAGTAATATTTGTTTCTTTATTTTGTTCCTAAATGTCAAATGTGATTGCGAAAAGATGTGTGTATTGAACTTATTTAGAATAAAAGCTATATTATAAGAAAACAAATTTTTTAATGCTCTTTTTATCATTTTGAGGACAGTTAAGAGCCCTTTGCGACATAAGCTTAAATTATGTATATCACTTTGAAAACAAACTTTGTTGTACAGGTAGGCGGTGTTTTCATTGATTTGGTAGAAGAAGGTGGCGGCATGGAGCCCTTGTTAAATATATATTGCCAACAATATTTTTTTTAGATAAGCTGTTATGCGGTCTATGAGACTCACTCAAACAATGACGTTGACTTGATTAACCTGATTAACTTGAAACTACTATAACAAGTTCCGAGCTTACTTTTCACACATTCCCAGAATTTTAGTTTTGAGAATAGAATTAAACCCTGACTCTTGCAGGAGTCTATAAATAGTAAGGTTATTAATTTTGATTTCAATATTCCTTCGTACATGATTAATCTACTCGTCGTTACCAAAGAATATAACCGATGACTTATTTGGATTTAATTTTAAGAGATGAACCATAAGCTATACCAAAATACTTCTTCAAGTCATAATTAATCTTCTCCTCTGCTGTTTGCACATCTGAAGCGTCAAAAGAATTATAGAAATGGGCGTCATTGGCATAAAGGTCATATTTACCGTATTTTAAACATTTACAAAATTGAGAAGTAAAGATTGTGAACAGCAAAGAACTCAATATACTTCCTTGTGGGGCTCCGATTTGAACATTTTGCGAATCGGATATCGGCCCGTTATAAAAACCACCTGAAGGGTTCTGTCGCACAAAAAGGAGCAAATGAACTGACAGGATTTATCACTCATTCCAATGTAATGTAAAATAGCGAACGGAATTTCCCGATTAATCATATCAAATGCCTTACTAAAGTCTAACGATAGGACAGCCGTCACACGCTCGAAACACGTAATCCACATGCGACAGCGCACTCCCGCAAATGTGAACCGACCTAATTCGCGAATGTTTGAGCGGCAAAATATTATTTCCATCCAGGAATACTCTGAACTGCTTTTCTAAAACCTTTTTTAAGACTTTAGAGAGAGTGGGCAAAACATTGGTAGATCGCAGGTGAGAGTACTCAGTTGACCTCTTTACTGTCGGCAATGCTCCATTTGCCCTGCCACCCGCATAAAATTCTTAAAAGCGGAACTGAACAATTTTTACCTTAAAAAGCTTGAATTACGTAATCGCTTTTTGAACTTTACATGTGAACACCTTAAAAAGAGATTTAAAGATTATCTGTTCCTTAAGAGCTGAGTTTTGGGCTTTCTTGAGTTGCTTAAAAACACGGATCTACAAAATTAAACATTTTGACAGATGTTTTTATCTTCAACACTGATTTTATATAATTTTGGTAGGTCAATTTCAAAAATTCATTTATTGAGTAAAAAAGTGGAATCCTAGTTAAAAAAGTAAACAAAAAAATAGACAGAATTTTTTGAGTGAAATCTTCGTCTTCTTCCCAGAAAGATGCCTTGTTCGGACTTTCAGCTGTAGTCCGCCATCATCGTTATGCTCCATCTGCCTTAGTATCACCGTTCCACTTCCTTAATGTCGTGGTGAAACCTTTCTCTCTGTCTTTCGCTAAATACTCTTCGGGAAAATAGTTCAAATGTGGAAACAGGAAATGCACTCTGAAACTGTGTTGAGTGTTGTAACATATATTTAACAATACTTTCGTAGTTTTCGTCCATAGAGTTCCCAAGAAAGTTTTTCCAACATTGGTTTTTCTGCGGCCCAAAAAAATTTGTTTCTTTTATCTTGGCATCAGATATGACTGGAAATTTCTTGCACAAATATTTGAAACATTGTCAATTTTGTCTTGAGCTTTAACAAACAGGTTCATCAAGCCAAGTTTGATTTGTAGAGGAGTCACTAAAACTTTTTTAGGGTCTGAATACATTTTTGCTATCAGGTGTAAGTCCAATCCAATCTCTTGCCCTTCTAACCCACTCACTAATAAAACATGTTGTCCTAGGAGCATGCACAGCACTTTAAGGTCACCACAAAGCATCCATTGATGTTTTTGGTAGTCGCCTAGGCCAATTCATTACCATCATGCCTTTTAAACTACGCCTAATTGAGTCAATAAACAGGCGTCATTCATCTTTTATACACGGCACATTTCCTAATTTTGAAACTAAGTCAGGAATATTGTTGCAATAAAGTAGCAGTCCTTCCTGAGTAAAATATTGACATAACTCTTTTTCGCGATCCCGGTAAAAGCTTGATATGACCCCAGGTGTCAGTAATTGATTGTTCCGAAGTCTGACGCTAACATTTCGGATGCATCCTCTGGAAGGTGCAAATCTCTAATTACATCATCTAATTCACTTCGGGCTTTCAGAAATTTGGTGTCAAATCTGAGTCATCGAGGTGGGAATTAGATTCATTTGATTCTAACGTTATGACGCTTTCTAGTGCTTTTGGGGGGGTACTCCCGACCATGAGGAGTTGGTCGAATAGCAGAGACCACATTGGGATACACAATTTGTTTCTTATTTTTTCTGTTAAATCCTTGAACATCACACCAACAAAAATAACAATCATCACTGTAATTCGTAAGCTCCCGGCATACCACACCAATGCTTAAACGTTTTTTCCAACTTTTTTGCCAGTTTCTTAATGCTTCAACGCAAACGGAACAAATAGTATGAGGAGCCCAGACTTGTCGTGGTCGCCAATTTTTACACCAAAATAAGCGTGGTATATATTTTTCACAAAAGAAGTTCTAGAACACTAGAAAGACGCAACAACGACAAGAGCCGCGAACACAGTTGCACCCCGACCAATACAACCAAACTGCGCATAAGCAGGTTACAACGCTGTATTGACGCTTCTGTGCTAACGCTGTTGCTTTGCACAGAAATCTAATAATATTTAAAAACCATGTCTAACATGGACCAAACATTTTCATGTCATACGTATGTATATTAATAAAATTACATATTTAAGATATATAGCGCCATAAAAAAATGTCGCTACAGAACAAAAATATGGAAAAAGAGGCCCCAAAAATATACAAATAAGCAAACGGCTTCCAGAGATTAAACTTACTACAAACCTGTTTAATATTAGTTATATTGCACACTTTCAGCCTTAGTTTACGTAAAAACTATATTTGATTCTAGATTTGGAATGTTTTGTATTTTGTAACTAAATATTATTGCTAATTGTTTACTCATCCATTTATTTTCATGGAATTTTGCTTGAATGCTTCGTTAAGCAAAAAGCTATGTTGCCCTCCGCCAAGTTAAAAATAAATTCGTCTCTATTCAATTCTAAATAAGAACTTACTGGATATGGTCCAGGAGCGTCTAATCGTCCTTTTGATGATGTCGGCCGCTGGTACGTACACCCTGGTATCTCTCCTTCGGCTGGGTCGTCGGACGAACTCGTTCATCCACTCTCCCGAAGCGGCCTGGATTTCCCTGAAACGGGAAAGAAAAAAATCAATCCGCCTGACGGATTTCGTTTAGACCCTTAGACCCTAATACGAGGGTATTTTTCAGTAATCTTCACGTGGTTTTACTGTCCGTAACCGTCGATGTGAAACAACCCTTTGGGGAAATTGCTGGACGGCGGTAAACACTCACGTTGTTTCGTGGTGCGTATTGTAATTCAAGTACAACGGGCGCGATGTCGATATTCGAGAAATATTTCGAACGGGTAATTCAGCGGCTTTGATATGCGCGAAGTTAGGATGCTTGGAATATGTGTCCGCGGAGTTGTCTTGAAAGTTTAGTGCATGGCCATGTTCTATCAGCATATCAGATCCTAACAACCTTGTCGTTAATTTGTATCTGTGATTTGGTATCCATTACTCGGTGAAACATTAAAATATACAAATTGAACGCTTTGCGAAAGCGAAGAACTAACCACAGTGCGTCAAAATGCATGTAGTTGTCTGTAGTAACTGATAGTATCTCACGTTCTACTCTGTGCCTGTTTATATATTGTTTGAATGGACGGAACTCTGAACATTGTTTCGGATGACATATTGGTGGTGCCTGAGTCGCGGCTGAGATTAGTTTGTTGCTTATAGATTTCAATAGAATCTAGTAGAAGAATTGATTACATGCAAGAATTTTAGTTTTATAGAATTAAACTTGATGTCCGTTGTGTTAAGGCTCTTCCATGTTCTTTGAGTCTAGTTGATATTTTTCGCCTGGTCTCTCCAAAGTATTCTTTGCCGCATATGCATGGAATGCTATAAGATCCTGGTATCTCAAATAGAATTTTGTCGTTGATGTAAAGAAGATGTTGTTAGATTTTTGGACTTGGCGTTAAATTTCTTAAGAACTTCTGATATCTGGTGGTCAGTGATGTTTTGAATGTAACGAAGGACAACAGGGAAGAGCAGCCGTAAGGTATCTGTAAACCATAGACTTCGGGTATCGGTCTGTGTGTATAGGTTTTCTGTATAAAAAATGTGGTTAGGTCTGATTTTCTATTCATAAGAATATCTAAGAATGCGATATTATTATTAATATCTAATTCAATTCTAAATCGTATGTTAGGGTGGATAGAGTTTAAATGGCTAATCTCGAGGGGATTCTTGACCATGACGCCAACGTAGCGTTTCCAGAATTTTGGTTTTAGATGGAAGGTTTCAACGGCATTCCTCTCAAAGGCTTCTAGAACCGATAGCTGTTCTCGACGTTTGTTCAAAAATTTGACCGTTATAAGAAAAATATGTTCCAGACAAGAGGTTTTCAATTAAGATGAGATGGTATAGATTCTCGAATTTTAATATGTCTGAAATAACGTTGAGAGTTGCAAGAATAGCGATTGTGGTAAATAGGAATTCTACGTAAACCTAAACTAACCAAGACTAGAACATCTTTGGATCTAATTTAATGGTTTTTAATTAATGAATGAAATGAAAGGAATTAAGGAAATGAACTATTAGTTTTCCGTGTAAAGGCTAGATATTTTGCTAGAGAACATGTTGGAGAACCAATGGTGTTGACAATAGGTTGAAGGGTAATCGTGGTTTGTGAATCTTAGTCACTCTCTTTATAGAAAACCTATGCACATAGGCCGGTACCTTAATACATGATCCCATCACCATCCGGTCCAAAAATCATCGATTATTAATCCTCTTGTTTACAGCGCTATAAAACTATCTCAACGAGAGTCACTTAACCCAGAATTAAAACACCTTATATCTACTCTTCCCTATAATAATCTCCAAATTAGAGATATAAGGCGATCCGTCACAAAACACACATCACCACAACCTTCCAAAGACATCACATCACATCAAATCACATATCAAAAGACCTTAAAAATATAACGTCAATAGCGGATTAACCACTGGTCCAAAAATCTCTCAGCATCTTCGATCCGTCAAAGACAAAATTCTGTTTGAGGGTTCCCTGCATATGAGTTAAAAATATCAGCTAGACTTAAAGAACATGAAAGAGTTTTAAGACTGCAACATATTAATTCATCAGTAGTTGCCGATAAAACTAAAATTCTGCATGTAATCAATTCTTCTACCAACAACAATATATATATATATATATATATATATATATATATATATATATATATATATATATATATATATATATATATATATATATATATATATATATATATATATATATATATATATATATATATATATATATATATATATATATATATATGCAGGCACAATTGCTAAGCAAATTGAAAAATATTTTTGAGGTTCTGAAATAGCCACCAGAGGGCGTAATTATTATCTTGAATTTTAAAACTCATTTTCTGCAAATTCAAAGGGCGAAAAGTGATTTCTCAGCTTAATTCTAGATTGTGGAGCAAAGAAATTGCAAAAAAGAACAAAAAAATACTATATTGCTGTGGAAACAATAACTGCGTATGGCTCAAAAACCTGGGAATTAAGCAAGAGAGAAAGGGATAAAATTCTTGGCTGTGGAGATGGACTACTCGACAAGAAGCACTAGAAAATCCAAACTGGACCGTATCTGAAATGAAACAGTATGGCGAGCTACGGGAATAGATGGAACTATAATACACACTATATATAGAGCTTAGCAAGCGTGGAAGACCTCCAAGAACCTGGCGAGATAGTGTAGACCATGGAACAATGAAGGAGACTGATGGAACCGCGATTTATGAAAAGTGAGAAACGAGAAGAAACCATTTGGTATAAATTAGTTATTCTTAATTATCGTGATAGTAATAAAAACATTGTTGTTGCCATCAGAAGTTATTATATTAGTTTGCTTTTTTAGTTGGCTGTGAAATTTGACTAGGCGGAAAATATACCTATCTGACAAAATGCTATACGCGTCTTTGATGTCGTTATTTGATGCTTGTCCAAATTACTTAATTATTTACAGTTTTGAATAGTCGAAGTTTAAATTTATTTAAAATTTGAGTTTTCTTAATGTTATTGTGTTTATTGCATTATGAATGTCTTATTCGACTGCAGAAGCATACAAGAGTGTATTTTCCCGTTTCATCGTTGAGGATCCAAATTATTTTATCACGAATATTATGGAGCGATGAAGCTACTTTTTCCAGCAATGGAGGAGTCGATCTGCATAATATGCATTATTGGTAGCCGGTGAATCCTCATTGGATGCTTGAAGTGTGTGAGTGTGAACGTTGGGTGTGGTATTTTAGGTGATGGAATTATAGGAACAATTTTCTTTAATGTTAAAGTTAATGGCCCCTTTTATTTGAACTTTTTAAGAAACCATTTGCCGATATCCTTGACAAAAGAAAAGAGACACCTGACTACAACAAGGATGGATGTCCAAAACGCTTTTCTCACGAAGTTAGGAATTTTTAAGACTGCGTTAAACCGTTGGATAGGTAGAGGCAGTTTGCTTCCTTGGCCTGCCAGATCTCCAGACCTTATTGTCCTGAGCTTTTCCCTTTGAGGTAAGCTAAAAGGTATTCTTTATCAAACTCGTCCTACTACCCCGGGGAATATGGTTGATCGTATTCGAAATGGTGTAGAAAACCTTTCCAGATCTGAAATTACCAGTAGAAAAGGACGGGAAGCACTTTGAACGCTTATAAAGACCTTTGATTTTCCTTTCAATAAATTTTGTTGTTAAATTATCAATGTTAGGTTTCCATAATGCTCGGATAGAGTTATTAATTGCATATATTAGGATATTAAGATGCTGGTTTCAATGGGTTGTTGGTCTTTGGAGTTATGGACACTGAATACTGATTAAGACACTTTAAGAACACTTTTTAAGACAAGATATTTATTGAAGAAATAATAATGAACTGAAAGACGTAACTACTATTTGTGACAAACCAAACTGAATTGAAGAACTATTCGATATTTGTGGTATTCCGATTAAAGGTAATACACAAATGAAGGAATATTGTATTAATAAATCTCTTCAATAACTTTTTACGGAAATTAGAAAATAAATACGTATATTTTATTATTTTAATCAAAAAATTAATTTACAGATTGTCAATGAAATTACTAGCCAAGCGATAACTCCGTCAAAGTGAGATCAACTTTCTTATTTTAAATGAAACACCCTGTTTATTTTCCCATCTTTGTAGTCTACGGGTGAATACAAGTAGAAAATGTTGTTTACCTTCTTTCGATGATTCCTACAGTTTTCGATATAATAAGGTTCAAAAATTTCAGTCAATTTAAATTAGGAAAAAACAAACTGTAACCAATAAATTAACAGATAGAGTATTTTTTATAGAAAAGCATTTGTTTTTGTAGTACTTGAACTACTAATAATTTGCGCTGTAAGAATAAAGGCAAGGGGTAAACAGCAGTGGAACTATGGTGCACAGTATTAAGAAATTCCAGTGGAATTCCAGATGAACAACGAGGAATTTTAAGGAACAAGATATTTTTATTACCATATTTTTGAAAATTTCTATACGGGATTCGAGGTTATGTTTGCCATTTAAAATAGCTGTTTTCCAGACGTTCCCCAATATTTGGAAAAGTCTATAATTAAGGCACTGAGCAAATTTTCACATCCAAAAGAGCTCAAGGATGTTAGATATATGTTTAATCAAATTTACAATTTTGTAACATCAAACAGCATAATTCCAATTAATCAATCTGGCTGACTTTAACAAAGCGTTTGATACTATTAGCGATCCTTTATTGCTAGTCTATTTAAATTCATAAATATTATTTTTTATAGTTGAATAGCATTTCAAACACCAGAAATATAAAAGAGTATACTGTTTAGGCAACATTAAAAAATGATGAATTAAAAATAATTGCTGCAAATAAATATTTTGTAAATTTATTGATATGTGCTTTTTGAACGTTTCAGTTCAGTTATCAGTATACAGGGTAGTCTGTAATGAATGCGCCAAAAAGTATTTTTAAATTAAATTGGTTAAAATAATTATATATAATAATCCAAGGAAATGTCAATTTAAAATAATTTCTAAATTAAAGTGTTTTGAAAAACTGTAATAATAAATTGTGTGGTTAAAATATGTTTTTTTGAACTCTATTGTCTTCACAACTATTAAAGCTATCGATAAAAAATAGATAACATTTCCTATTCGGATTTCCCTGTTGAATAAAAAAATGTAAAATATACAGGGCGTTTTGTTTAAAATAGGATAATTGTCCCCACTTCTGCTAAAACTGAAAGCGCTATTCAGTTGTTTTATACGTCAAAATGTTTTATTTGCATAACATCTCTAAATTTCAAATTTATTCAAATCAGTTATCGCAAACAAAATGAATGGGCAACAACAGGATGAAATTCTTAGGTATGATGCTAGAAAAGTATCTATAAAAATGAAATAACAAGTCAAATTCCTGTCAATCAAAATAGGTTACGACGAAAGAAACAAAGAAATACGAAACAAAGAATGATGACCCATTGTTTAAAAAGATCCTGCTGCAAAGAAGTGTGGATGAATTTTTGTTGATTTGGACGACCTAGGTATTGAAAGCTCCAAAGCTATTTGGAAAAAATGTGTCATGAATTCCATGAATACTTGATATAGACAAACACTTCACTGGAGTACCGTACGATAAAATCCCAATCCAAAATAACTGCAATTCCGGGTAAAATTAAAAAAAAATCTTGTGTGTTCCAACTACATCTACCATCAAAACTATAAACCACTTTTATCAATGTTTTTATAAATTTTAAATCGAGATAATAATGATTGAAGATTGCCAACGTTTGAGGAGGACAAGGTGCTTGAAGAAAAGAGAACAGACAAAACAAAAAAAGGAAACAAATATAAAATTTCCGATAACAACTAACTCATTTCTTGGCAAGTTTTTTATATGCCACAATAAAAGAGCTTAAAATCTGAGAAAATCGTTAAGTAGAATCCACTCTGCAATATATATCAAAACAGAAAAGGTGCAAAGAAGATTTTTCATTTGTTTGTGCCTGTAGACTTAAAGTCCTCGAGATTTGGGATGCTTTGAAGAGCAAAGCTGTTTATTTGAGACAATAATTCTTCTGCAAATTAGTTGTCCAGAACTTACAAGTCGTCCTAAGTGCAACATTCTCGGCTCTAAGTCTCTAAGACAAGAAAACTCAATGTCATCCTCTACCCAACTGTAGACTACTAGGGCATATATTGGGAATACTGGGAGATTACTACACACAAAAGGTATATCCTACCTTCTCAAAACTACACTTCTAGCGAAGGGATGGAAGAACTTTGGGCATAGTGATTTGATGGATATTAAAGCAGTACCCTCTTGTAAAAGGTCAGGGACGCCAGTGAGTTACAATGAAGGAACAGTTAGGTTAGTTCAATTTCCTCTCACGTGTTCGTATTTGCAAGCAAAAGCTGTTATTACGTTGTTAGGTGGATAGCAATATTTTTAAATTGAAATTATTTTTAAAGTACTAACCAGTGGTCGTTAAATTTTGTAACTGCGTTTACTTTAAATTATTATTGCCCCCCGGTACTTGGCTAATCAATTAACGCACTTGAGAGTAAATTATAATTTCGTGCGTCTGTCGTCTAGATTACAGTACATCCTCAAACGCACTAAAACGATGAACACGTTTTGCGCTTTTTTCTTGACCGGGTTGGTGGCTTATTGCGATGCGGTCTCGTTTCAAATCACCAACAAAGACGGCGGTCCTATTTGGATAGGTATTCAGGGTAATCCCGGTCACGAACATTTAGCCAACGGAGGGTTCGCGTTGCAACAGGGCGAAACGGTAGGATTTATATAAGTTGTGGTATTGAAAATGACAATTATAAATTTACGTAGAGGGTGCTTTCGGCAGCCGGCGATTGGGCCGGTAGGTTCTGGTCCAGGACTTGGTGTTACGCGGATCAAAACAACCATTGCCTTACCGGCGATTGCGGAAACAAGCTGGAATGCGCTGGGGCGGGTGGTACTCCTCCCGCTACCCTTGTAGAGATTACCCTAGACGGTTACGGCGGTATTGACTATTACGACATCTCCTTGGTCGACGGTTACAACAGCATGGCATCGGTAAGAGTCGAATTCCTTGGTTAGTTAGTTTCATTTTGTTATCGGATCTTTGATTGAACTACTAATAATTTGCACTGTAAGAATAAAGGCAAGGGGTAAACCGTAGTGGAACTATGGTGCGCAGTATTAAGGAATTCCAGTGGAATTCCAGTTGAATAACGAGGAATTTCAAGGAACAAGATATTTTCATTACCATATTTTTGAAAGAATTAAAGATGATGCTATGGGTGAGCATGGAATTTTTATACGGGATTCGAGGTTACGCTTGCCATTTAAAATAGCTGTTTTCTGGAAAAAACGTTCCCCAATATTTGGAAAAGTCTATAATTAAGGAACTGAGCAAATTTTCACATCCAGAAGAGCTCAAGGATATTAGATATGTTTAATCAAATTTACAATTTTGTAACTTCAAACAGCATAATTCCCATTAATCAATCTGCCCGACTTTAACAAAGCGTTTGATACTATTAGAGATCCTTTACTTAACTATTTTATTTAATTATTTTTATTATTTCTATTGAAACGACTCGATTTAGATTTATAAATATTATTTTTTATAGTTGAAAAGCACTTAAAACACCACAAATATAAAAAAGTATAATTTTTAAGCAACATTAGAAAATAATGAATTAAAAATGGTATGCTTTGTTGCTGCAAATAAATATTTAGTAAATAATATTGATATGTGCTTTTTGAAATAAACGTTTCAGTTATTCCACACGAAAATCGATATGAAAACATAGATTGGGGGGTTTCTAATTTTTTTTGGAACGTTAGTTACAGTTTATAATCTCGCTATTTCATGACTTAACTTTCTCATTCGTCCCAAACTGTTATTTGTTGTCAAGATCACGATAGAGTAATGATTTCTAGGTAAAAAAGGTATGCTATAGTTATTTCCATAAAACATACATTTTTCGAGATATTATCTAGACGCAAAATTCACAGCTATTTCACTGAATAATGAAAAATAATATTTTTTTTTATTCCGTTTTACTTCTTAATGAACTGTTTTTGATTTAACCATTTACTTAAAGTATAACAATACAAATATCTTGAAAAACAGTGCGTTAAAAAAATGTATAACTTATTGCTTACAATAATTTAGAAAATGGTAGCGGATATTACGTGATAAAGTAGTATGTAATCTTGTTCTTTAGAACATTTTCTTTTCTAGAAGTTTTTTCTTTACGATCAAAGTAGTTTTTGAAATATCGTCATTAAAACCTAGATTCGTTTTTTCTGTGAGGACGACTACGGCCTATTTTTCCAGATAATATCTAGAGGGCGCCAGTCTATAATCCCGCAATTTTAAGCAATATATTTTTGTTATTACAGCATCGTTAGTTTTTTTAATTATGGTAGAATAATAATTTCTAAGCAGAAAAGTTATTCATTCATAGTTCATTCAAAATAACTAGGATATGAATCAGAAATGAAAAAAACCATTGACACTGGCGTTGACATTCATTAATTTAAATCAAAGATCGTTCACCGTTATTTTAAAACGGAAAAAAATATAAGTGATTAGTATGTCATAGTCATAACGAAATTGTGAAAATACAGCTTCGAATTGCCTTTCAGTGCATTCTTTATAGACTAGTGTTACTACGAATATTGCTATTTAAACACTATTTTGTAATTGCACTAAATCATTGTGAATTGTAGGCACCTAGACAAACATTGATTTTCGTATTGCGTTTAATGATAACTTACAAATTTTTCTTCCTTGATTCTTTAATGTAATAATTAATGGCTTCAAATACTTAAACCAGAACAAAATGCTTTTTTAAATAACAAAAGTTTAAATTAAACTAATGCTGGAGGGAACAAGATGGCAGTATTTCCGGATATACCGGTAGTAGGTATCAACTTTCATATTTTAAATAAAACATTGTATATAGTACTGGTTTTTTGTATTTTCTGAAAAATTCTATACATATTTCGTGTAGAATATTCCACATCTAAATTTCACCGTTTCTTAGATATGAAAAATGACGTTTGCAGACCGAAAAATATCTGTAATTTTGAAAATTGAAAAACCAAATCAAATAGAAACCACCATTTTTATTATTAATTAAATTTTTATATATAAGAGTTAACGATGCCACTCGATTTCGTTTTTAGTTTTTTGGCATTTAATCTATATCACATTCAAATCAACAAATAGAGAGCGAAATTATCAAGAATCCTTGTAATTTAATGTCTATTGTGCTGTAAAAAATAATTAATAGTTGTAAAAACTGTAACATACGAATGTAATGTAACAATATTAAATAAAAGTTGTTGAAACCTCCAGTGCAATTTTGAAGAAAACAACTTAGACAATTTCTATTCTGTTCAATCAACATGATTGCTGCCTCTTGTAAAGAGTTTACAACGGTCCTTCTTAGCCGCCCCGATCCCCCGATTTTTCAGTGCATGATTTTTTTTATTTGGTGTACAATAAAAAATCTGGTGTATAAATAAATGAAGCAACCCACGAATAATCGCTTCTCTTTTTTAAATTTTTATGTTTTCAAATTTTATCGTTCTTTTATAATCAGTATTTTCAATTTGTAATGTTTTAGTCGAAAATGAGATTTTTTTATATAATCTTCTTAACTGTCATGGCGATGGTTTTTGCTTTTGCGGACAACGAATCGCAAACGTATCACATGTTCTTGTTAAAACTTTGTAACGTTCTCCATAAATAATTATCAAATTCAAATAATCTTCCTACGTTTAATTATTTAAGCGTGTCGGCATGGTTACTGATAATATTTTTTGTATGGTAACTGGCAAAAACATTTTTAGAACGTTTAAAGTAGATCGTGTAAAAAAACTGCAATATTTCTAAATAACTTAGGAATATAAAAATATTTTGATTTTATTTTTGAAAAAGATTATCAGTTTTTCAATTTCATGTTCATTATATTTGTTCAAAATTCTGAATCCTTACAATAGTCGAAATTACTAATTAAATTTGTTCAACAGATCATTTCCTACGCCATTTTTGACATATTTGACAAATTTGAAAAAAATGTCTATTATTTTTGGGGGAATCAAAAATATCAATGAAATATCGGGTGTTCTATTTAAATAGAAGGATACATTAGCTTAATTTCAAATTTTCGGATTTTTGCTACGTGTAGTTTCCCGATGGGACACCATGTATAATAGCATTAATTGCACGTGTAATGAAATATTTTCCATAACTAATCTTAAGTAAAGTTATTGCAGAAGTACTTAATGTGGTAGAAGTATTTTACTTTTCAATCTTCCAATAATTTTTTCATCATTAAATATTTTATTTATGAATCTCTCAAAATGCCTAAGTATCTCAGTTCACCGCCTCCGTTATTATAGTTTACGAATATACTTGGATGGGTGAAAACCTAAAAGCGGTATCAAATGTTAAAGACCTTGGCGTGCTCTTCGAAAGCGGCTTTACGTTTATCAATCATATGTCCAACATAATTTCAAAGGCTTATAAAATGTTGGGATTTATTAAGAGGTCATAATTAGAACCTCAAAACGTGAATTCCATAAAACTCCTATTCTGTGATCTGGTTCCACCCCTCTTGGAATATGCTTCATCTCTATGGAATAATGTCATATTCGTCGAATCGAACAAGTTCAGCGCCGTTTGCTTGGCTATATAGCTTTTAAGTTGGGTGTTGACTTGGCTAACATGGATTATGTGGCACTAGAAAACTCATCAGATTTAAAAAACCTTACAGCTCGTCGTGACTTATTAATTCCAGTTGTTTTTATCCCTCCATTCTGTCAAAGATTGGGCTTTTGGCACCAATATGAATAACTCGCCTAAATGGTACATTTTTTGTAATGTACCACAGAACCAACTATGGACGTTATTCATAAGTTTACGAATCAGATTCAAGCAACATAACATTACATAGCTTACATTACTTTTTTTTCTTCCTTAGCATGTGAGATTGTAACCTAGGCTTTTAATTTTAGTTTTTACTTTTGTATCAGCCTGTAATTTAACTGTGCATTTTTCCTAAGTTTTATGTACAAATGGGTTCTGTCTCTGTCTCTGTATGTTCCTCGAAGATAATAAAAAGTTTCGGGTATTTTCTGAACGCAGCCATAAAATTTGTAAAATAAAAGGATATAAACACTTATATAATCGCGTTTTTAGGCTTGCTGGTTGATAGCAGGCAATTGTTGGAGGAACCCGTGCCTTTTATCAGTTTTTTATCACGTATCGGCAGAAAAAAAAGTCGAATCACTTCACAAATTTATTAGTTGCTTAAAATATAAATTCGGAGGTGATTATCTTTGGAAATAATTGATTATATTTAAAAAAAACGAATTCAAGCATGTATTTAGTATAATTATCGATGATCTATTGTAACATTTCGTTTATTAAGATTAATTTTAATTTTACTAAATTTGTCTTAAATATTTTTTTCGAACCAACTACTTCCGTTTTCTGGCTTTCTCGCAAATGCTAAACCACTTCTGTTCTAATTCCGAAGGCTGAATTTATGACATTTTATTAATTTCGCAAATAATGTTCTCTTAGTGTCTTATGCTTAGTATTTATTACGCAAAAATCGAAATCATTTATCATTTTTCCAGATACATATTTTTGTATTTTCATTTTTGATGGTAATTCCTATTTATACATTTGTATATATCACGTTTCAATTACATTACATTACATTACATTGGTTATTTTTATATTGGTCGCAAAAACTAGTTCGTTTCATTATACGATCATTATGTTGCTTTACAATTAAATTGATGTTTACGGTTATGTTATGGTTTCTAGCTACAATTTCAGGGTTTTTGTTCACATTTAAGGAAAACAAATATTACTATTGTAATAAAAAACAATTCGTGTTTCCTCATTTGCGCCATTTGTTTAAAAGTATAATACCGATTTCTCAAAAAATTGCATATATGTTATGTCAGGTGATATTCATTATGAAAACAGAAAATTCACTGCACAGTGGAGGTGAAATTCGTTTTATTTTTTCATGAAAGTTAGGTTTTACCCTACACTAATACATCCACGATATTTTCGAGCATCGAACATTTGCATAAAACTCGAACATTTTACTGATTTCACTATCGATATTGAGGATTGCATCATTTTCTTTCGTGCTATTTTTTCTTTCCATGCTATTTTATTTTAACTGCTTTTTAAACGTATGTTCGTGAAAAAAGTGTGCTGAACATCCATCGTATTGCAAACGACATGTCTTTTCTCGTTTGTAAAGAAACATTTTCTAATAAAATCGGCAGGTGGTTTCCTAAAAAGCTCAAATAAATTTCACCATTAACTTTACGATTAAAGAAAAATGGTGGAAAAATGGTTCACACTCCACCTCACTTCATCCAATGAGGATTCACTGGGTACCAAAAATGCATATTATTCAAACTGACTATTCCAATGCTCGAAAAAGTAACTTCATCGGACCATAATGTTTGAGATAAAACACTGGGATCCTCATATCAAAATCAGTAATAAATAATTTTGGGCCAAAGAGATGATTTATTTTTCTAACGGTTTTCTATCTACTACTTAAAACGTCAGTAATTAATAAATTTATTTAAAGTTAAACAATATTGACGAGCGACTAAACTTAATGTTTTATAAAAAAAAAGTGATAATACTAAATATTTGAAAACAGATAAGGATAATGTTGCTTGCATTGTAAATAAGTTAATATAAACTAAGCGAACAGCGAACATTTATTTCAGTAACAACCCGTTAAGTGGAGCTGCTCACCAAAATTCAATTTCTGTATAGTTTTGAATTCCGATTTTCACGAAATTACATATTTTGACATGACAATTGTTTCGACAACACCGTGTCTTTATCAAATGTAATGTGATAAAGACACGGTGTTATTGTTGTTGGTGTGTGTGTCGTCATGTCAAAATATATATAAGGTTGTTCGGAAAGTCATTTCGTTTTTCCCGTCAGAGGACTTAATTACGTTTTTTCGAAACCAACTTCACACTTAAGCCGCATAACCATTATATGTCTTGAGAGCTGATGTTGCAAGGCTTGTGTGTGAAAAAGTTCTATTAATTCTACGCAGTAGTTTTTGGTTGGTGCCCTTTTAAATATGGAGAGCATTTTCGTCATATTTTACTTTTTTACTTCAGAAAAGGTAAAAATGCTGTCCAAGCGAGAAAAAAATTGACGGATGTGTATGGAGAAGGCGTGTTAACAGTACGCCAGTGCCAGAACTGGTTTGCAAAATTTCGATCCGGCAATTTTGATGTCGAAGATGCACCACGGTCTGGAAGGCCGGTCGAAGCTGACAAAGATGCGATAAAGGCATTAGTTGAATAACCACACGAGAGATCGGTGAGAGATTAAATTTGTCGAATTCGACTGTTTATGGCCATTTGAAAGGCATGGGCTTAACCTCGAAGCTCGATGTGTGGGTGCCCCATGTCCTTACGGAGCGAAATTTGTGTCGTCGCGTTGACGTGTGTGATTCGCTCCTCAAACGTCAAGAAAATGATCCATTTTTGAAGCGGATTATTACTGGGGACGAAAAATGGGTTGTATACAACAATCTTAAACGCAAGAGGTCATGGAGCAGAAAAGATGAACCGGCTCAAAGCGTGTCAACAGCCAACATTCACCAAAAAAAGGTGATGCTCTCCGTTTGGTGGGATGTCAAAGGAATCGTTTTTTTTTGAGATTTTGCCGAACAATACAACGATTAATTCAGAAGTCTATTGTCATCAACTGGACAAATTGAATGATTCACTTAAAGAGAAGAGGCCCGAATTAATCAACAGGAAGGGTGTAGTGTTCCACCAGGATAATGCGAGATCTCACACAAGTTTGGTCACTCGCCAAAAACTTTTACAGCTTGAATGGGACGTACTGCAACATCCACCATATTCTCCAGATCTGGCGCCTTCCGACTACTATTTGTTCCGGTCCCTGCAAAATTTTTTGGATGGCAAAACCTTTACCTCAAATGAAGATGTCAAAAACCACCTGAACCAGTTTTTTGCCAGCAAGGACCAAAACTTTTATGAGAGGGGAATTATGTTACTGCCAGAAAGATGGCAAAAGGTGTTGGACCAGAATGGCCAATATATAATTTAACAAAATATTTATTCATTATACGAAAACTGTCTTTCATGTTCCCCAAAAAAAACGAAATGACTTTCCGAACAACCCAATAATTTCGTGAAAATCTGAACTTTTAGTTCTAATTTATTTTGATAAATGGATTTTCATCAAGTAAAAGCCACCTCAGTTCAAGTTTTGAATTCCATTATTCATATTTTAAATTAGGATAAAATATAATTAGAAAGATTTATTGTTAATTTTAATTACTTTAAATTCGTATCATTAAAAATCGTATATCGTATCTACATATAAAAGTTTATCTGGAAGTTCATTTGCATCTTTTTATATTGTCCTATTGAGCATCTTAATTGAACTCAAAGAAAGGAATAAAACAAAAAAATGACTAAAGTTGTTGAAATATCGCTGATTTTCAAAAAATGCCGTGGCGGCCATGTTTTTCAACAGGGCACATGAAGCTCAAAAATGACCATGTGGAACTTTAACCTATTGTTCTTCATGATCAAAGCTATTGATCACTTCAGTCAATAAATAACATTTGCCTGGACTGTAGGTGCAATTTCTTTAATTCTCTATTGTTTTTCTTGGGCAATCATAAAAATTTCCTTGGAATCCAAAAATGCAGTAATATTCAGCATGTTTAATTTGAGACAATAAAGTTGGTATTAACCATAGATGATCGGAATATCCTGCATACACGAAAAATTAAAAAATATAGATAATAATATTCAACTTTTCATTTTAACTTTGTTTCTCATCGTTCATAGGGGGTAGGACACCTTATTCCGCACCTCTTAAACTATATTGTCTACTTTATGAGCACAGTGAACTTGTTCTTTACTAGATCGAGCCAGTTAACGGCCAAGGCGACGGAGGCCAGTACAGCTGCAAAAAGGCCCAGTGCGGGAGCAACGTCAACATCAACTGTCCCGCAGAACTCCAGCTCAAGAACGACGAGGGCACCGTGATCGCTTGCAACTCGGCTTGCAACGCGTTCCTTACGGAAGAGTACTGTTGTTCCGGTTCGCACAGCACCCCGGAAACCTGCAGGAGTTCGGAATGGCCCGTCGACTATCCCTCTTACTTCAAAAATCAATGCCCCGACGCCTACAGCTACGCCTACGATGACAACAAGAGCACCTTCACTTGCTCCGCGCAGCAGTACAACTTGGTCTTCGGTGGGGTTTAGGATATGACGAATTTTTTTTTAATTACTTTGTATTAAAATCAATAAATTTTATATTTTTGTTGAACAATTCATCCATTCGCTGAAGTCTTCTTCCTTATGCTTATATTTATTGCCCCTTCTATTAGTCGATCCACTAGTCCTGATCTTCCAGCTGTATCTCCCTAGGTACTGCAGATTCTTCTTCTCCCTACGAAGACTGACGATCCAAGTAGCTTTTGTCGCACGAGAAACCGCAGCTCTGAAAATTTCTGTAGACGTTTTCCTTCCATCTTCCTTTGTACTATAGGCAAGTGAATCTCATATCACTCGCAGCTCATGACATCGCAGGAACTGCAGCTTTTTCTCTCTGATTGTCGTGAGGAGTGCTTTACCGCGACCTCTACGTTTGTCTTATGTTCCGTCCAAGATATTAGCAACAGTCGTATGGAGGCTCTTTTTTGTGAACGCATCGATGGTCCAATTCTCGCATCAGTACAGAAGAATGAAAAGATATAACAGCGAAGTATTCTGGTCTGGAGTGCAAGGCTGGGGTTTCGGTTTGCCAGAAGTGTCATGATGTTCAGAGTTCTCCGGGCTTGCTCAATTCTTGATTTGATAAGCATACTCAGGTACCTCCTTGCTTTAAAAGTGACGCAACTCAAAAATTGCGACTTTTGTGCCATTGCTATCAACGCATAGAGAAATAAAAACTCTTTATTTCTCAACAAAACCATATTAAATTGTCATTTTGAAAGATCAAACGGTCCGCAAACAGTTTCTGCAAAAGCGCCATATTATTAATTTCATTTCTGGTCCTGGCAGGAATATTTGCATACGCCGGTCAAAAATGTTTCATTTTAAATTGTGCCGTTTTTTATGATAAGCAGTCAATTTCAGATTATTTAGAGTTTGGATGAAATTTTGTTTAAACTTTATTTACAATATTTGTGTCAGTCTAGAACAAAAAGTTGTGTCGCTTCAGATGATTAAATTTGTTTCTTTCTTAAATTTAACTAATTTTTTATTAACTTTTTTTTTTATAAATTATTATTAAGAATTGTCGGAAAAAGTGAACTGATTCCAATTTTCTATACAACGTCCTTTGAAAATAATACGTAAGTCTGTAGATATGCTAAAAATAAAAAATACTAGATCCCAGGGTAATTTGGAAGCAACTCTAGAAATTCAGTTATCTCAGGCATGTAAATAGAACTTACCCTTGTCGGAAAACAATTCAGAGTTAGTTGACAAAAATATAATCCCAAAATCTTATTATAATTATTTTTATAGAACTGACTTAAAATAACTTTATATCTCTTTATTGCTTCCGTTTAAAAATTTTGAAATGTTTTTTTTTTTTAGTTATTTTGTTGCCTTTAAATATTTATATTTTTCGAGTTTAAAATGTTTTAAACGGCTGATGTTTGCATTCTGTTTGTATCTTTGATGTAATTGTTTGTCTTTATAGTATTATCAACTGTTGAAATATCAAATAACCTATGCTAAGTATTTAACTCAAAATAGTTACAAGAATTTGGCATTTTTGTTAGCCTTTTACATTTTTTTTTCAACTTTTGCGACAACTATTTAATTTTAAGAAAAAACTTAAAACGGGGTCCTGTTTCAATGCCACATATTTATAGAAAAAATTCTTGGCGCAATTCAAAATATTTTCTCTTGGCTATTTTTTTTTCTTTAAAAGTGACACAAACCAAAAAAGTTTATTTTTAGATTTTAGTCTTATTATTTCTTTGTTTCATGTCTTAAACAAGTTCTGATACACTACTGACTACTGGCTATTACCACGGTATCATCGGTATCATCGGTATCGTCGGCGTAACGAAGACTATTTATATATAATGTTTCCATTGATCTTAATCCCTGCAGTTGTGTTCTCGAGAGGTTCGTTGAATATTGCCTCAGAGTAGAGGTTAAACAATCCCTACACTTCTTCTTATTGCTATTTCTTCTGATGCGGACCCTTCGATTTTGACTGTTGCTGTTTAGTGCCAGTAATGTCTGCAGCCTTTAGATGTTGTGCACCGATCGCGGTTGATTTTAGGATGCTGATCATTTTTTGATGTGACCCACAATTAAAAGCTTTTTTTTTTTAGTCCAGTACGCCCGCCTTCATGTCTATCAACTCTGAGTCAGCACATTTAAAGAGAAAAGAGATACATGCGGTTTATTCTGCTTATGAGTATTTTACGTGGCCCAATTTTTTGTAACACGGATACGTTGGTTCGATGCTCTGTAGACGGTACTCGTAAAAGTCGTCTACAAATCTGCATTTCAAAAGCCTCTATTCGGTTTTCATAAGTTTGGTCCATCGAGTCTGAGTTCAGTCGGACCAAGTCCCAAAACAAAGACAGTATTGAACCAATCTTCGCGAAGGCAAAATAATGGGGACGAAAAGAAAATTAGGAAAAACAATTCAAATTATGAATAATAAATAGTCCTGGCGGGGATTTAAATCCACAAAAACAATCCCGCTAAGAAACGAATTCCCGAAGGTCTAACCAAACATGTGCACATGTTTTGTTTAACAACATGTGAAACATGGTGCACCGTGTCGTGCAAGTAGAAGTATAGCTATTTTCCACAGAAAACACTATTCTATTGTGACTTCAAATCAAGCACCCTGGTGGCTAGTAGTTAAGGTTGCGCGTATGTCTTCATCGTGTATCATCTGTATAGTTTATCGCTAAACTTTGGTATTCTTTTCGAAATGTTCCAAAACATGCTCGACGATGTAAATAGGGAAACTAGTGGGGAAACGCCTTTCTTCATCCGTGGGGATGTTAACTCGAGAATATGTGAGCTGGGAAAAAAAATTGTCGCCCGAGCATTGACAAAACAAGTTCAATCAGTTTTATTGTAGTGAATGGAAGGAAATCTTTTTATACTTTTGTTGAGTTTAATGTTGTATCAGTAATGGTAGCAGCGTAGTGGATCTTTGTTTTGCAAATCTCGCAGGTTTATATTTACTGACGGACTTAGTTTATGTTTGCTCCAACTACGTCTTACCATTTTCCCATTCGTTTATAAGTTACTGTCTCCATGCCTCATATGCCCCTGCATCTGAACCACGTCTCCGCTGGGAACAGGAATGCAATTTGCAGGAAGAACAGGTTCCATAGAAAATATACAATTAAGTATTGAAAACCTTCACACGGCGATCATTGAATCCGCGCGAAACCTAGTTCTTGTCTTCATTAAAGGAAAACACATTGAAAAAGTGATCCAAACCCTGGTTTGATAGTGAATGTCGTATGTCACAGAAGCGATTGAATTTTGATTTAAAAAATGTAAGAAGTCCAACTTTAATCCTATTGATAAAAACCTTTATCTTAAAAGCAAAAAAAAACACTATAGCGCTTACATGAAAACTCCTTTATCTCTACTCCATTGAGTACAAAAAAAACAACGCCAATTGCGATGTTTACTAATAATAACGACAAAAACGATTTCGTTTCGCATGATCGATTATATTCAAAACCCCTTGTAATCCAATATAAGCCCAATGACACCCCTGGTATAGATCTACGAATTTTTAGAAAATTTACCATATAACTGATTATTGTATCTGTGTTCACTATTCAATAACATATTTTAGTGACAGACTGTTTGCGCGAATTTTTGACAAAAAGGCTCTTGCACCGGGTAAAAAGAACACCCGTAATTTAAGAACCCCAGTCTGGTTTTGTATCTGGACGTGGCTGATTCAACTCCAAACTTAGATTGAAAAAAAAAAGATTTTTGTAGCTTTCCTTTACTTTGGAAGAAGTTGTATGGGACGAACGTTTGTTCTAGGTATATTTTAATAATTAAATGCCTTTATAAAGTGGCGACAGTAAAAATTAAAGCTTGGGATGGCTTCAATAAAATGTTCGACCTCAATGAGGTGTCCTTCAGGACGAATCGCTTGACCCTTTACTTTTTTCCCTTGTTCTTGCGCATATTGACGACTACTTTTCTTCAATGGCTTTACAAGGCCTCTCTATTGACGCGTTTCAACTTACTGGCTTGCAGAAGATATCGTTTAATTAGCAGAGACTCAATTACAGAAAATTCAAAAAATATACCAAAGAACCATACAAATGTCCTTCAGTTTGGGGCATACTTGAGCGAGTACAGACTAACTTTTTACAAAGATTATTGTTACTTCCTAAATCAAGTTCAAGGGCTTTGCTCCATTTTGAAACATGTTCCACGCACTTGGTTTACTTGGTTTGCGTCACTTTCTTATGTAAGTGTTAAGAATGGACCAGAGTCATTTCCCGAGATTTTAATCGCCATCTATCTCTGACCAATAACAACAGGCACAGCAAATTCAACTGGGCATGTCAGACAAGAGAGCTGTTTCGTGAGTTGGGTTATGGTGAGTGGTGGAGCAATCATATATCACTCTAAGATGGGAAAAGAATGGCATCTTAGAATGTTTTAAAACAATACCTCTTAAAGTAGATCTGAAAGTTGTGTCCATTTTAAAAATTATCGCACAATTGAGATTGAGTAATTAAAGGCTGCGTGATATATCCCTACTAGTGATTATTTTCCAACTTTTATATAATAAACGATCTTTTATTTTGGACAAGGCATCACCTGCTTCATATGTTTGCATTTATTTTAAACACCCTGTATATAAATCTTCTACCACACATATGATTAGAATAATTTTTTTTTTGTAGATTGTAATCCACTTTTTAAGTCACCTCTGACATGGAACGTACCGCTTGGGCAAATGTGTGCTCGTTTCGTTTATAATGGTAAATTCCGAAAATCTTGAAATAGAATCGGACCCCCTGCGCTTGCAGATAACAGCAATAACAGATTTGAAAAGTTTGTTTAAGGATTTTGGAATAAGTCAGAGCCTTTCACATAACAACGTACGTCACGTGCATCGCAACCCAATTAAATAATAAAATTATTTTCATTCTGGTTTACGATTCCGTCGAAATTATCATTAAAATCAACCGAAACTAAAATTCCAACGAGCTATTCAAAAGCAAAACAAGCTTACCTACGCGTTCCGACGATTAAAAACAAATTAGTCAGTCGCACTTAACGCGAATTGAAATGCAACAACATTCGAATAGAAATCAACAGCTCTAATTCGCGTAATTCCATCTAAATCTTGCTTAAATATTTGCCAGCTGGAATAATATTCACATTTAATATAAATACGGCGCCCAAACTAATGCTCGCTACAGTAGGTCGAATTCGAATTAAAAGAGTTAGCAAAATGGCGAGCGCAGCATTGAAAATTTTTACTTTGTGCATTTTATTTGCCCTTTCGAAGGGCAAAGTGCTTAAAATTGTAAATAACAACCCTAGCGTCCTCGCAGTCAATGTCGGTGGTGCCGAACACACCGTGGCTAGCAACTCATTGGTAAGTCAATACCTCACCTTAAACCTCACGTGCTGATATATATAGAAAAATTATCTTAGATTTTTAACAATATTTCGTCATTACCCCTGCTGTATCTATAGAAAAACCTGTTAAATATGTACTAAGCTAAGGGCTGTTTGTGGAACATTAGTATAGACTCTTTCACACAGGTAGACCAAAAGAAAGCACTCAGTTCCACCTTACATTAATAAATGTGTTCTGGGAGATACTTAAAATGCACTGATACATGCTTCTTCATTTGTTTGTTCCTATCCCTCCTGAAGATCTCTACACTCTCCGAGAAGTACAATCCTATCTCTACTTCCTCGGGTTTAGTAGTGATGAGCAGCTGAATGGAAGATAAATGGGTGTTTCTTTCTTATCTAAACACAACTCATGCGTTCTCTCAGTCTCCACTCCGATAATATGGAGCTGCCGTCATAGGCAGTACCCTATCAGGATTCCGGTATACTCTCGCAATGTAGCTAGAACTGTATCCCGTCCTATTTATTCAGTTCGCCATTCACTACAATATCCGCTGTTCCATGGGGCGAGATACCGCTTTACCCTTATATCTTGGGCCAGCTTTTCAACCCTGTCATTGCCCCCAATTCCTACCCAACCTACACTAACATAATTATATTACGTTAGAATCTGTCAATGAAGGGTACGCTGATATCTTTCGCCTACAACTGCTGTGTATTAAAGATACATGATACATGATAAAGGTACTGCGGAATGGAAAACCTTTTATTCCAATATTTCCTCATCTGTCATAATAAATAAATACTACTTTCCAATTTCCTCTTTGCTGATCTAATTAACTCAGCGCTACATCACAGAATTGCATTTCACTTTGTTCGCCTTGCTTTCTTACATTAAGACATATCGAGCCCCAAACTCTAGATTTTAGGATTGATTTTGATTGTTATAAGTTAGTCCTTGGTCCTTTTCACACACCTGCCCTGTTCCAACCCCTTTGTTGCTGGTATATTTATAAGCAGCGAGGTAAAATCAATAATGGCATATAATACGCATGGGGCGTCCGCTACAATTGACGATATTTATATCAAAAAGGATCTTCTTTATATCTCACAGCGTTTATCGACGAATTGGATGCAACAAAACTGCATGCGAGCAGTAAATACTGGATTGATAGCTCAAGCAACCTAGTTTTTTCTTCCCAAAACTCCCTAACTATAGCTTTATCATAGTTAATAATAATAATAAATAGCTTTAGTGCTTTAACGATTAGTAAAAACAAGATCACAAATAATTACCTCGAGTTAAATTTGGTAGCACAAAGCTGATAACCAAAATTGACCATTGAGTTAACTGAAGGGAACAAACAACGCTTAGAGTGGGAGTGGGAGGGAATTAAGGACAATGAAGAGATAATTAGGTAAAAACGAAAATGAAATCTTGCTATTATGCAATTTGCAAAAGGCAATTTTAAGGGTTAATAGAGACAGAGAAAAATCCATTAGAGAGACATATTGTTTAGTTTACATTTACAATTCAATATGAGAAGGACTTTTTAAAGAGTGAGGAGATTCAGATTGCAGACATCCGTCCTAAATCTAATTTTGTTGTACAGATGAGGCCCTGCTGTAAAATTCCAGATATAGAAGTTTATATCGATATTCAACAAGCCTGACCCAACCAGATGAAGTAAAACATGACTTCTGAGTCTAACTTCATATACAAGTCTGAGAGGAGCTTTGAACTCTGTGAATATGATACATCTCTCTACATATCTAGACAGCATAACAAAAAAGCATTTTAGTATTAACTAATATTGATTTTAGATTACTACATGAAACGCTTAATTTGAGTAAGTCTAGAGTAAGTCTTAATCTTTTGATAGGCTACAGAAACATTTCATGATTTATCATGCCAAAGGCTGCTAACATCAAACAAAACTAAGCCAGTAATTTTGTTATTATCATATATCATAACCAAGTTTCATTTCAGCTGGCGCCCCATCCCACTTCTCAATTTTCACCTTATTCTCCATGCTGAAGATTTCTAATTACCATTGCGTCCTCGGTCTCTTGCATGTAAGTTCTCAATCTTGTTCTTCCTCTCTTTCTTCTCGCTTGAGAAGTCCATTTCAATACTTTTCTAGAGGATCTCGTACTGTCCGTCCTTTCTATATGCCTCATAAAAGACGCTTAGTTTCTATTTTATCCAGTATCGTTCGTTTTACTCCTATATTTTATCCGATTCGATAGCTTATTATGTGTTCAAGTTGAGAGTTTTCGCAACCTCTCTAATAGTCTCTCCCGAGAACAAAGAGCCTGCCTTTATGTCACTTATTCAATACCCTTTCTGCGATTCTTTGTTTTGTTCATTTGTCATTCCAGATAAGAAGTTTCCTTTGCTCTATTCTGTGTTTAACTCCTTGTGATGTTCTTCCGTCAGACGTGAATGTTACTCCAAAATATTTGAAAGATTTCTACCCCTTCACTGGTGACTTACCAGTTATTATCGTGACAAAAAATAATGAGAAATGCTCTTGTTTGCTTGTCCATTATTTTCTAAGAACACTAATAGAACGCATATGATCAAACTCTTAGGCTTTTTCTATTTTAGGCAGGGATATGACTTGCGCTTGTTTTCACACTACAGGAAAATATGGAGACAAAATACATTCATTAATTATTTTGGCAATATGGTGTACAATTGAGTGGCAACAAAACTGTAAAGTGATATTAATATTATCGGTTAGCGTTAGCTTATTCTTAATAGTGTTAATCTTTAATTTGGTGGTTCTTAGTACTTATCGAGTGTCTTCGATCCCTCTTTGGTGTCACCAATCACCATCGTCGTGGTTTTTATTTCTATCATCTAGAACAGCACGGGTTTCTTGGTAGAGAAAATGTTTCATCTCAGAAGTGGGATATAGCTTTCTCAAACTCATGTTCTAGTTTAAACAAATTACCAACAATTATATTTTTACCAGTAATTTTTTATGGTGAAAAATGTATTTCCGTGTTGATTGTATATATAACATCATTAATTTCGTCATCAATCAGAATGAATATATTCCTCAGGTCGCCGTAGTAGTGGCAGACGATTTTTCAGACTCCATAACAGCTGTTCCAGCGAATGCAGAAGTAACAGACGGCCCCAGGACGAAGATTGAGCTGAGTCTAGGTGCGGTGGACACCTACGTGGTCTCGTTGGTGGACGGGTTCAACTTGGGTGCCAAAGTAAGTCGAAACGTAGGTGAGTCGTCGTAGCTTTACCCTCGTTGCTCGTTTTGCAGATTATTCCCACCGGTTCGGTGGCCTGTTCTCCTTCGCTGTGTGCGGCTTCTATCAACTCTTTGTGTCCCGTTGAAAATCAAGTTGCCAACAGTTTAGGGACGGTTGTCGCTTGCAAAAACTCGCCGGCCGTGATGTCGTCCGTTTGTCCATTGGCTTTGGTCAACGAAGGAGATGTGACCAAGACTCAGAGTTGCGTCACTGCGACGTCGTACATGGTACACTTTAATTAACCCGAAATTGTTCAGATAATTTTGACTGCCCTTGTAAGATATTATTAGAAAAGTTAATAAAATTTTGTAAGCTAATGAGCGTTTCAGTTCCGGTTTGAATCTGTTTTTGACTCAAATAATAGTTATTAGTAACTAATTATAAGTTGAAAAACCACCTAGGTATATCGGGCTATACATCTAGGTGTCCTGTTTTATTAAATTTTTAGGGAGGAATAGAACACAAGCATTGCAGATGTAGACTTTTCTCGAGATTTTTGGAGGTTAGTTAACTGATTCTGCAATCAATTCCTCCTATTTTACACCGCAAAATTATTTTTTAATGAACTGAAACTTTTGGGAAAGATTTTATTTTGAAAAAGCTTCGAATGTTTGAACTGCTTGATGAAAACCAAAATTGCTTCCGAAAAATCGTCACTGGGCGGGGCAAGTTCGTAGCGCGCACCGCGAAGCAGCTTTCTACTCTAAAAAGAAAAAACTTCGCGGTTTCGTGTGGTAAAAGGAGGCATTGTTTTTCTATCGTGTTCCTGCGGACCACTATGGAACTTTCAAAAATCGATGTAATGTGGTTGTGCATGCACCCTGTATAAAATATCCTTCACATCTGGTGGAACTTCAAAGTTATAGCAAATATCGGTAAATATTAAAATTTGCATAAATAATAGTAAATAAATATAAATAAATATTTCGCGCCCTGTATAATTGACGAAACCTGAAACTCTCTCACGACACGGTTTACGATACTGTTCAAATAAAATTACCCCTTCTTTAATGCTGTATATGATACAATCATTGTTCGAATTCAAGGTTATAGTCCCGGATTTTCCACGCGACCTGGTTCAAGAATTTTTTGAAAATAGTAAATGCTTTTCGAGAAAATAAGTTTTTTCTGAAACCATGCAGTGCGCCGGAATAATCAATGACGTTATCGCGCCTTGCCGGCCCCCGAAATAGCGATTTCAATATGGATTTTTTCAAATATCCCGAGCAGCGTATGTAATAGACCAAAACCGCAAATACAAAAATTGTAGCTCTTGACGCGGCCTATAACACTGTTTGAACCTATTAGCCATATTTTTTACGATGTAAAAGAATAATTTTCTATGTCTTTTAGATTTTTGCCTATAATTTGAAAACCCTGTATATAAGTGTCTGTGTCTGCCGGTTAAAGAATTTTGTCAATCGGATGAACGATTATGGAGGAAAACAGGGGGGAATTTTTATATATCATTTTTAAAAAATACTTGGTAAAATTTGAATGTGCTCAATTTCTACCGTTTAAATATGGACATGGACTTTTACTTCTCTGCTTAATTTGAAGTTGATATCTGTAAATTCAGAATATCGGGAACACCCTGTACAATAGGTGAAAACCTTAAATACAAAAGTTTTTGCTGTCTATTCGGGCTATATCTCAATTTAAAAGAAAGTGAGATCTGAATCATAGTCTTTCAGTTATAACCAATTTTATCACACATTTTTCAGTATTTTTGAATTTGCAGCGCACCCAGTATATTTTTTAAAAATTGTCAAGAATAAAAGTTTATAGAGCCGTATCTTCTCCTTCTTCTGGTTCAAGAATTTTTTTGGTCTCGTAAACAGTTTTTGAAAAATGATGTTTTTTGTAGACCCTTGCACGCGCGATTTTTTATTTTTTTAGAATATTTCCCGACCCCCCAGCCCCCCCATTTTCAATAGGTTGCGTCACGGAGAAAAGCTGCATATATGTGCTAAATATGAAGCCGATTGCTTCAAATTTCGGATACTTATCGTGTTTCATAGCAAAGTTTAAAAACCACTCGAAAATCACGAAAAAACGATAGATACCGGCGTCGGATCAGGGCCATACGCTTATGTCCCTCGTGCAGGAGACAAATTTCAATGTTGTAGCTCCAACGGTTCGAAAGTTATTCAGGAAAAATCAAAAGACAGAACGGAGAATGGAGGACAGACAAAAAGAAATTTTTATACGAGCGCAGATACTTTCGAAGAATTCGATTTCATCGATTTTCTAAAGTAACAAGTTGACGTGATATTTTAGTTTCCTTTTAAGCATTCTGGACTATTTCATGTAGCCCTGTAAGTATGGCGGAAATCACAAGAGATACCCTGTGTGATAGACAGTGATAGAAAGGCTCAGAATTGACTCTCCCATCTGTAATTGGTACTCTGCTATCTAGACGTGAACTGTGCTTTGGTCAAAAATTGGTTTTGTAATCAAATATTGAACATTAATAATAATAATAATAATATTTATTGACTACTTTACTCATACATGGTCTGTAGCTACTAGAAAATTCGCATTTTTGTTATTTCTACAATTCACTAGTGAACTGAGAGCTTATTAGCGCGATATGATTTGCAAGACCCTTAATAAATGTAAACTCCAACTTTACGCACTGATCAATTTATAAAGCTATTTGCTTTCGACCCAATCTACAAATTTAATGTGGAATTTTTATTATTTTTCTTTTTTGAACTATTTTATTGTGGATGGAATCCATGCCATATGACAAATATGCATCTTTTTAACAAAAATTACTGAAAATTCCGCACATTTTTCGTCTTGAATAGTACTATTTCCGCCAATTTTAAACTAATCTAGCTTGGTATTTGACGCTAATGGACATTTGCGGAATAATGTTATGGGAAAATAAACATTTACAGAATTATATTTGAAATCTACGAAAGCGCCACCAAAAACAAAAGTTGCGTTGTAGTTTATAAGGCAATTTTTTGAGGAAAGAATTTATAATTCAAGTGAGAATATTTGGAAAATTGTTATATCTGAAAAATAAGTCATAATTTCTAGAAAATTAGTCAGAATTTCTGCGTTAAGTAAGAATTTAGGAAAAATAAGTAGTAATATAAGCAAAATAAGTCAAAATTTCTGATAAATAAGTCAGAATTTCTGACAAAAGTCCCTCGGATGGGACAGTGTGAATCGGAACATCAGATATTCAGGGTGATTGACAAAGAAAGGTCAATCTTACTTTGATTCTTTGATTTGAAGATTTCTTTATGATTATTATCAAAATTGTTATTCTTAAATGTTATTTTTCATAGCTCCCTGTTACCGTGTCATCTTCTCAGTATATATAAAAAAAAAACAGAATAATTACATTGAACTTTTCAAACGCATGTAACTCAAAAACAGACGGCTTAAACAAGAGTCCCTCTTCCATGTAAAAATATGTTAACTATTGAATAGGTTTCAAATTCGTAATTGTCGTGTCAAAAAACCTAAGGGGAGAGAAAAACGAGAGATTTATGTCAGAAATTCGGACTTATTATCTAGAAATTCTGACTATTTTTTCAGAAACTGGGACTTATTTTGCAATTTACATCTACCAAAACGTAGAATAAGCAAACTCACATTCTCTTGTGGCAGACGGTGCAGACCCAATCGGTGGACCTGAAATTGTACTCCCTGCAGCCCTTGCACACCTTCAGCCTACAGACGCGACAGTAGGCCCCGCGGTTGATGACGCGGCCCAGTTCGACCCTGCATCGTCCGCACGAGCGGTCCGGGTCCGGCCCTGTGCTGTCCCAGTCCGTCGAGACCTTTATCGCCCCTTTCCGCCGCAAGTTTTGCAGTTCCGACTTCAATTGCCTGGAAGCGATCGGGAAAATATTATTAATAACGGCAATATTTCGACGGACCGAGTGTTTGTTCCTCGGGATTGTTAAACCCCCGAAGGGCAGCAATTTGTCGGGGCCACGCGACCCAAATTCGACCGCGTTTTGCGGGGAGGTCTTGGAAAAATGTTGCGCCTTTTTTGCTATAAAGAGAAACCTGCGTTTTGGCTTCGTTTTACTCAATTTTCTTCGTTTTAAATGGCGAAATTGTGAAGAAATGGTGCCCCGATATTATTTGGAGGTTATGTTTGACTGTTTGTGTTGTTCTTCTACAGAAAAATAAACATTATACAAGAATTAGAAAAGACCTTGACTTGAAAGCGTCAAATAATAATAATAACATTATAATGGTCAAAATAAATAAATAAAAAGTTAAGATTTTCACGAAATTTCTGAACTTTTAGTTCTTATTTATTTTGATAAATGGACTTTCATCAAGTGCAATCTACCTCAGTTCAATAATAATGGTTGCGGTTTCCACAACAAAGAATTAATTCTTACGTTAAATATTTATTAAACTTATTCTGCATTCTTTAAGAATGCCAATCTCTAGGCTCAGAAATAACGCGAAAAATATTTCAAATCTAATTTTTCGAATTGCTATAGTGTCTTTGTAGCATGCCGGTACCATTAAAACAATCGCACTCTCTCATTTTTTCTCTAGGAAGGGTTTCGGAAATGTCAATTTCGCGACTATGAGATTACGGGACGACTCACACCGCATTGAACTCAATATTTTAAGACGCGACACGATGTTTGGTGGTAGAATTTGGCGTTTCTATTTTATTCAATATTATTCTTTTCGGGTTTCTTAAGCGCATCGCAGTAATGGTAGTTGTACGTTGTATTCAGCAGTCTTTGCAAAAGTTTGGTCATTAAATTGATTATAATAGTTGGTTGGTTTTATTCAAACTTCCAACTTGGAAATGGTACTTGGAAGAAGAAATTGGGAAAAAACTGTGTGTTAATTCACACAATAATAATATATTTATATTAACTCAACTTAATTAATTACAATTGTGGGATAATCAGGCATCTATATGTAAAAAACAACGAAAAAAAAAAACAGATATTACCGTCGTTATATAAATAATACATAAAACATCTATTACTTTGTCACAAAAAAAATCGACAGTATCAATAAAAAGACTCTTCTAGTGTTAATTTAAAAGTTATATTTAATTTAATTGCGTAGGCTTTCACGGCCGGCGTTATAATCTGTAAGATTTTCCAGGCTGTTAGGTCGTGGTCCACTGGTTTTCCTACCAAAGCTTTCAGCTGCTACTGAGGCAGCCATCTTCAGTGGAACGTAGATTGTAGCGCGACGACCGTATTGGTACTGTTGCCGGTTGTCGAAGTACCTGTTTCGAATTGCTCGAACGGACGGCGGACTGAACGGTCCGCCCCCCCCCCCCCCGTGTTGTTAGTATAAGGTTTTGTTTGCGTTTTGAATGACCACCTAGGCGTTCATCATTCCTTTAGACCACAAAGGGCATGCCAGATGAGAATTGGTCATGCGCAAACTTATAGATTTGAATGAGATCCTCTCGCAGCCGACGCTGACTTAATGTTGGCAGACTAAGTATTTTAAAATGGTATACGTGTAAGTTAAAGTGGCCAGCGAGTAGTACTTTTCCTCTTGTGTATTGCCGGTTTAGAGAGTTTGCGTGTCTCGGACGTACTCGACTTCGAGAAAATAGCTCTTAAAAAATTTTACGATATCCATGACGGGTAGGTGTTATTCATGTCTAGAAGACAAATGTAATGTAGTTGAGTGAGGTGAACTCTTGGTTTATTGATAATAACTTAATAATAATACCTCAATCTACTAAAAAAGTCATTTATAAGATTCCATCACAGTCAAAAGCTTGCGAGATTTGCGATCTATACATGATGTAAAGTTTCTTGGAAAATTGATAGATAAAAACATGAATTTTAAAACCCATTTCTCTTCTTTGATTCGATAAATAAGTTCGTGGTTCAAAAAATGACCATAAAATGTATGGCCGGTATTTAAAAATCTACTTCTTGTAAAACTTATGTAAAAAAATTTAGTCTACATGCATTTGAATTGTGTGTTGATGTGTTTCAAAATAAATCAGGTTTTGTTTTGAACAGTAATTTTCACTCAGTGAATACAAGATCTAAAGAAGACTTTAGAATTCCTTATGCAAAACATAATAGTTCTTATAGAATCCCAAGTTTGCGATTGTTTAACTTCTTACCGAAACAAATGAAAATGTTATAGAAATATCTTGTGATTGAATGCCTATACTCATTAGAAGAGTACTTTAGCTAGTGTATTTCCTTCCTTGTATATAGGTTACTGTTTGTAGTATTAGATTATGAATCTTTTTTTTTTTTTGACAGCTTCCGATACACAAATTGTGTTTATCGATTTGGAAAAAAAAGACTAATTATTATTATTATTATTATTGTTATTGTTATTGTTCTTATTATTATTATTATTATTATTATTATTATTATTATTATTATTATCATTATCATTATTATCGTCATTATTAATATTATTATTAGAAATGTTTAATATTCTCTCAAATCAATAATAAACATTTTAATGGAGAAAAGATTAAAACTGTGATTTAAATAAAAATCTAAATATGTGTTAGTTTATTATTCTTCGCGGCTGTATCGCACTGAAATAACGTAAAAGAAATATGACTAAAAGGAGTCCAAGGGTACTAAAAGTTTCTAGAGTAATGTATGATACTTTAAATGGCCAATTTTCACAGAGATGTTAACAGAATTTGTGTTTTTACTATTATTTGTTATGTTATTGTATATATGGTAGAGAATTGACTAGATGGCGTGTTTATTGGTTTGTAATACCATAAGTTGTCTTTTGATTTATGTTAGTATTACTGATTGCACGAAAGAATTTGATGAAAGTTCGACAAGTATTTTGCAATTAAAGTGGTGCATTACACCAGTCAAACCGACTTTATGAATTGATTGTCAGTTTAAGACTGTGTAGGTGAAATTGGGGAGAGTGTAGGGGTAACATTCAGATTGATACACCATCTGATGCCACCTGGCATAGTCCTTGTGGGAAAATAATAAGTAAAATAAATAAACACTTAATTATAATTTAACATGGACAAATAAATAAAAATAACAAAAAAAAAAATGCTACGCCTTTGAAAATTAAAATAACATTTGAAAACGCGAAATGATTTGGGAGAAAATTATTTTTTGAGTTGACAGGGCAATTTCCAAACTAACTGTCAATAAGTATGAAAAATTTATAGTTAATTACTCCAGTTCACCTTATCAGTAACGTTTTGACTATTTAATAAGTGCAATGGTCTCTTTTGAATAAAAATAGTCTGTGTTCTATGATTTTATTTGGTGTCAATATATGCTGTGATTTAGCAACGATTGTGATATTATCTTATGATGATGCTGGATATATGGTGGGAATATAACATAATGGTCTGTAATGCGAAATTACTGGAATAAGTTTTTTTTTATTTGGAAATAAAGTTCTTTACGGAAAGTTTAAAATTCGGAAAGCAATTCGAGCGTCCATTATTTGCCCGGTTTCACTTTACAGAATTTTAATTATCTGGCCTTTTCTTTTCGAGACTAGACAAATATTGGCATACATCGGATAAAAAATTAAATAATCAAGCTCTCGTTGGTAAAATCTGAATTCGGCAAGCACTGCTTTTTCAAAAAGTTGCAATATGATGCTTGTCGTTTTTTCTTTGTTTACAGCCGGATCAAGATATTTAAAAATTAAAATGGGTGGGTTTTGCCGTTCTCATTATACGAGCGGAAGCAGGCAAAATACTGAGGCACGTTCTCTCTTGATTTTATGCCATGGTAAATCGTACCGACTATAGTTAACTTACGTTAATGAAACAAATAATCTTGTTCATCTTCTAAATTTTCTACAAGTGAGCAAGTACTCGATATTCGCCTGACACCGTTTGAACGTCAACAGGAAATAGGTCGTACCAGAAAGTCGAGCTAAAACCCAAAGAACAATCGATCTCATTATGACCACATAGATGCAGAAACTTGATTGCCCGAGTATCCCGCCGACTGAATCGAACGCGATACGCAGGTTCGATACGTTCTCGATTTCAAGTTCAAGATTTCACATTGTGCCTTCGCAATTTACTTTTACCGATACGCCCATTTTGTGAGAGCGATTTGGGTCGCGTTATTTTCTTTAAATGGCAAGCGGGACTCGATCAAAGGAACTTAAGAGAGAGAGGGAGGATAACATTCTTTATTCTCTAGACATTTATTGTATGCCATATATAACTAAATCTAGCATTGAAATGTATTTTACATGCCTGGATGGTCTATGCGATGGTGTCCTATCGCTTTAAATATATGTTTAAGCATACAACGTTGTCGGTTTTATGTGAACGTGGCAACAGAGTGATGAGTTTAAATAAAATAATTAATATGAAATCTCCTCCCAAGCGATATGAGCGTTAAAGGGCGGAATTGGAAGGAATATTTGCCCTTCTAAATCCTCTCATATCATATATTTTACAAATAATTACTCTGAGTTTGACGTTTTTTCGCTTTTCAACAATATTTCAAACTCGATATTTCTTGTGTTGCCAAATGGATATAAAATTTCTAAAATAATGCTTTTTCTACTCCGTTCTGTAAAATACCTAACTATACACCGATTTAGTTTGCGGGAAGCGTCACTTTAGCAAGTGAGTTTCTTGTCCCATGGATCCGAGCCACTTCGGACATATCCGGGATATTACCGCACGGGTTTTAGAGCATGTTTCCGGAGATTTTACGGCTTGATTTTTATCAGTGACTATTTGCGTGCTGTTTTGCAAAAATGTACTCAAAAACTAACGAACATTCGCTCCGCTCGTGCCAAACAACCCCGTGACTCAAATACCATTTACCACACATGTTTCATAATATACTATTACCACACTTGTTGCATAATATACTATTAAAATGGCTCGATCA